TGTGCTTGTGAACACAATTAACAAAGTGTATCAAACACAGATAGAACTCACCCTAGCGGTCTGTTTGCTGGGGGATGAGGAATAACTTCCACCTGATGTCAGAGTATAAATACTACAGCTGTTGTTTACTGCTTGTAAAACTATTGCAATGAAATGACTGTCTCCTAGCCCCCCTATGTTTGAAGATTGATAACAACAAGCTAATACTACCATGTTGAGAGAACAGCAAATATACAAGCGCAGGGGTAATCCCAGCAGATTCTTTAAGATTTGGGACTCATTGCTAGCAGTACTGGGTATAGCCCCTTTTTCTTTGGTATCATTAAGACTACTGCAATGTTAGTCAGGCTTGTGCTAAATGCAGTATTCCTAGGGATCAAATGCTGTTATAACTTCTATATTTTTGCATGTACACCATGGAGTGGGGATAATATTGTGTGATCTTTGTTCAGAGTAACAGTAACACTTATTTTCTGTTAATGCGAATGGCATATAGTATGGTTGTGTTATTCTTACATTTTGTTTTTTGTTATGAAATCTCATGTTTTAGAGACCGGCCAAGGTCTTCCACACTTGCCCTCACTGTAGGGGGGCTGGAGTGGGCTATAGGATTGCAGCATAGGGGCCACGCACTAGAGATGCCACTGGCTGGCAGACTGCCACTGTGTGATGTTTGCTTACCCACCCGCTGCCCACATTTTTTGCTGGGAGCAGATGGGGAAGGGTAAACAAACATTGAAAAGTGGCCATCTGGCAGTCTCAGTCCAGGAGAGCTGCAGTGGCAGGAGGAGGAGCTGGAGGGGAGATCCCTTATCCCAGCTTTCTCCTCATCTCCAGATCCTGCTTGTCTCCTCCAGAGCTAAGCTAACAGAAGTAGTAAAGCTGTTGTCACTACTACTGTCAGCTCATAGGTAAGAATTCTCCATGTGGTGCCCCCCACCTCACATAATACCACTGTGCCCACGCAGCTGATCCTCCCACCTTCCCCTTGTCCTAGCCCTGTAGACAGAGAACACAGGACATTTAGCTCTGAGTTTTTTACAACATTTTTTTTTTTGTTAAATAAATTTAACAGAATTATTTCAATTGTATATTTACCAGATCGAAAGATAGCAAACAAGAGAAGTTCATTGATGAGGTTTATATACACTTTAATTTTTTTATCATTTCAAAGGATCTCTTTACTCAATATACTCTTTTGTGTGAACTAGAAATAAACTATATGTTAACTAAATGTGTTTGTGGTAAATTAACAACAAAATCATTGAAAAGGCAAATGCCTGGGAAATAAAAATATCACGTGTTATGTATTTGTGAATTAAGCCTTATATCACAAAGCTGCTACATAGGTAAGCCTTTCCAAGCTGGAGCTAAGTGATAACTGCTCTTGTGGAAAGGAGGAGACAGATGTTACCAATCAATTAGCTGTTACTATTTAGCAGTTAATTTTATAAAATCTTTAAGTATGTATTATACTGGAGGTGCTCAGTCTGGCTCTTAGGGGATCTTTAACAGTGTTTTCTCCTTGTCATGGCTGTATCAACGGTAATGTGTTTAGTTTAAATGTTTTTATTAAATGCATGCACACGCATCACACTTTCACAATCATATACATGAGTAGGTAGAACACTGTTTCTGACAACTTTTTTTTTTAATATAATCACCTGCTGTTGAAATGCATGTATTGCCAAAAACATATTGATTTTTAAGGAAGAGGGGATTAGAACTCTCTAAATGTCTATTGCTGTCTTTGTCCCCATAGATTTATTCCCCTTCCTTGTTATGTTGGCCACAGAGACAAAAAGTAATGGGAAATGTAAAATTAAAGAGCTGTCACCAGAACAAAAGGTGAAAATTGTGACACGTCTTTCAGTGACAGCTTTCTAAGAGGAGAATTCAGCTCACTTTTCAAAGATTTTCTCTTGCTTCTCTAACAAAAAAAAAAAAGGAAAGATTTGGCTTTACATTTACTTGCAAACTCTTGTTCTACAACTGAGCTTAGGTTACCGTTATTAGAAAAATAGAGACAGTCAGGAGCAGAATGTTCTGCACAGAGGAGCAGCATGTTGAGCATCCTTTCACTTTGTTTTGTTGACCTTTTCTTTTGTATTTTCCAATTTTTTTCAAAGCATGTTTCTGTTTCAGCTTGTTTCCTTGAGCTTAAAACATTCAGAAAGAAGGCAGTTAAACAAATGTCTGTCTACAGAGGAATAAGTTATTTTAAACTAGCACATGAGGTAACAAACATGAGCACAGTGGAAATGAACTATAAATGTATGGCTAGATGGTATATCACACTGAATAAAGCACATAAACAACAAGCAGACGTTTCACCTTTATGTTGGAGAGGTTGTGGGGGAAAGGGCACGATGGCACATATATGGTGGGAATGCCTGAAGATACAAGAGTGATCTGTGGATTTGTTTATTTTATACATTTGAATCTTTGACAAAACTACACAAGAACAGGGTACTACACCATCTAGTTAGTGTGGCTAAGGGCCTGATTCTCACATTTTGGCTTGCCCCTGACCCACCAAGTATGAATGACTGGGTAAATAGAGCAGACAAAATTTATAGGATGGAGGAATTGTGTCATATTGAAGAGGATAAAATGGAAAAATTTAGGAAAAATGGAGTGAGAGGTTGGTCTTCAAAAAAACTAAAAGATGTTTGGAACTGCTTGGAATATCAGTAAATGAGTACTGGGGGGAGCTTTTAAGGATGGCCCACAGAGAAAAGGGGATAGGAGGAAGGGAATACAAAAATTGACTGATAATGCTGATAAAGGCTGGAAATTAGGAAAGTGGTGTGGTTTTGGGAATTAGGTGGGGAGAGGGGAGGGATGAGGGCGGTAGGGAAAAAAAGAATAAGAGGTAATTGGGATACATGGGAGAAGCTTGTTATTGTTATTGTTTTTTCTTTTCTCAGACTTGTGTGCATTTGATGTTCTTTTTGTAATAAAAAAGAATCTAATAAAAGATGTAATTAAAAAAATGTCTGTACTAACACTGCATTAGTTGGGAATGAATGTACCTTGCATGTGTCATGTGCTTTCTACAGTATATGACGGGAAGATGCATTCATCCACAAAAAAAATTGTGAAGAGAACAATAGGGAGGATCTCACATGTGTGGTTGCCTGTTGCATGAGTAATCTGTTAGTAAAAGTCATTGGACTTTGATTTAATGCTAAAGTATTCATTTGCTGACCTTTGAATCACACATGATGATTATAGGTATCTTGCATTTAGGTCAACAGCTGTTAACTTGGTGAGCTTGGTACCAACGGATCCATGGAGTCAGCTGGGGCTGAAATAATCTTTATACTTTACCAGTGCACTTTTGGCACAAGAATAGAACAGGCTGAAGTGAATTGATTTACTAATCAGGGACTATTGAGTAGGCAAGAAAAACTCACATCAGTTCTGACGTATTCTCAGAAACGTCCTGCCCCTATGGCAAATACGAAGATTCCAGATTGCCAGTTTGGGCATATGTTACCCTTTATCTAAGAAGTGTTCTCAGTCACTGAAATACGATTCAGTAGGGCATTCTTAAATCTCTTTTCTATATCCAATTAAATATACTGTCCACATGCATGTTTTGGGGCATAAGGACCCTGCCAGCAGACATCTGGAGATCAGGAAAAGAACTCATTGATATTTGTGATCCAACTCTTTAAAAAGAATGCATGCCAGTCACACCACTGATAATGTACCGAAAGACTGAAAACTGCTTGCTGGGTGGACTAATGATGATTGGCCATTGTATCAGTAGCTAAAAAAACAGGTAACAGTGTTGATAAAGGTGTGAAATCATCCTGAAGGTCACTTGCTAGAGTAACATTCAATATCTTTAGTAGGGTTTTCACAACAGGAGAAGACTATTTATACTGATACTTATGATGATGATGATGTGTCAGGTTCTTGCGTAAAATAACAGAAGATTAAGGTCTGGGCTAAACTGAGGGATCAGTGAAAGTCCTGTACACACTTCAATCCTCTGTCACTCCTGGCATTATTTTTTTTACATTTATTATAACACTATTGGTTCAATAACCAATATTCAGTATGTTTGTTTTATTATGTCTTGGCAGACTAGGACCTAATTAAGTTTTATATTTTAATTTATGTTTGTATTTATACATCTTTATTTCTGTTTTTTTATGTTCTGTGCTATTGTATTAAATTCCAAAGTAACTTTATATGTTTATTCTAAATTATAGTTTTTAATTGGAAATTTTCATGTTTATATTTATTTTTTGAGTGGCGTGTATGGCTTTCTCCGAGAAATCAGTGATGGTGAATAAATCACTGTCATGTATTAGGGCTCTTTCACAGGGGCAGACTCTGCCAAGCGGATCCACCTGCTCAGCTGGGTATATGTCCACTGTTCCCTGCTGAGCTGAGCAGGCAGATCATAGGTCTGTGTCTGCTCCGCTTGTGCAGAGCGGACACAGGCACAGCCCTATGTTCTCTATGGGGCAGTCAGATGTAAACAGACCGCCCGTCTATATTTGACTATCATCCAATTTGATCCTCTAGACCCCCATCTGTCTGTTTTTAGTGGATTGGATTGGATCGGATCAGATGCAGGCTGGTGTAAACAGACACATGATAACAATGGGTGGTCCAATCGGGTCTGCATGAAAATTGGGCAGGTGGACCCGATCGATCTGCCAGTTTGAAAGGGGACTAACACATAAGGATTCATCTGTAATCTTGTAAAAATCCCGTATGTGATACACACTCTATTACATATTAATTCATATTTAAAACAATAAATGTAATGTTGGGAATCCTAAATTTATATCTTTCTGAAGCATAGGCTAGAATTGATTATATATTTTAATAAATGTGTTTGAAGGGGGATCCCTGTATCTACCAATATGCATTTGCACAGCTACACTATATTGCCAAAAGTATTGGGACACCCCTCTAAATCATTGGATTCAGGTGTTCCAATCACCTCCATGGCCACAGGTGTATACAATTAAGCTTAGGAATGAAGACTGCTTCTACAAACATTTGTGAAAGAATAGGTCGCTCTCAGGAGCTCAGTGAATTCAAGTTTGGTTCCGTGATAGGTTACCACTTGTGCAGTAAGTCCATCCTTTAAATTTCCTTGCTACTAAATATTTCACAGTCAACTGTTAGTGGTAATATAACAAAATGGTAGCAACTAGGAAACTCAGCCACGAAGTGGTAAGCCACATAAAATGACAGAGCGGGGTCAGCGCACAGTGCCAGACGTCTCCAACTCTCTGCAGAGTCAATAGCTAAAGTCCTCCAAACTTCATGTGGCCTTCAGATTAGCACAACAACAGTGCATAGAGAGCTTCATGGAATGTATTTCCATGGCAGAGCAGCTGCATCCAAGCCTTACATCACCAAGTGCAATGCTAGTGCCATTGGACTCTAGAGCAGTGGAGATGTGTTCTCTGGAGTGGCGAATCATGCTTCTCTGTCTGGCAATCCAATGGAAGTGTATGGGTTTGGTGGTTGGAAGGAGAATGGTACTTGCCTGACTGCATTGTGCCAAGTGTAACATTTGGTGGAGGGGGGTTATGGTGTGGGGTTGTTTTTTAGGGGTTGGGCTTGGCCCCTTAGTTCCAAAGAAGTGAACTCTTAAGCCGTTTGGGGATGGCCCCTTCCTGTTCCAACATGACTGCGCACAAGTACACAAAGCAAGGTCTATAAAGACATGGATGAGCGAGTTCGGGTGGAGGAACTTGACTGGCCTGCACAGAGTCCTGACCTCAGCCTGTTAGAACACCTTTGGGATGAATTAGAGCAGAGACTGCAAGCCAGACCTTCTTGTCCAACATCAGTGCCTGACCTCACAAATGCGTTTCTTGAAGAATAGTCAAACATTCCCATAGACACACTCCTAAACCTTGTGGACAGACTTCCCAGAAGAGTTGAAGCTGTTATAGCTGCTAAGGGTAAGCCAACTCAATAATGAACCCTATGGACTAAAAGTACTGAAGACAGAGGCAACTGTGCAACCAGTATTTTTTAAGACACACTTGAAAGAAAGAGAAAGCTGCACTTCAAACATTCCTGCTGTCATCTATTCTATATGAGCTCCTTCCTCTCACACTTTTCATTCACAAAGAGCTTATTCAAAGAACTCTACCCTTGACTCAATGTTGCAATAAAATACACGGAGGCAAAAAAAATTGTGCAGTATCTTTTGGGGGTTTCCTAACCTGGTATAAGAGGTTTTGTTTGTATTTGTGTTTGGAACTCAAATTCCAACAGAGGTACCCTCCTGCAAAATAAATCACTCATACTTACCTTTCAAGCAGGCAGCAATTCTGGCCTTTGCTCATGGCCACAGCTATCTCACACCTTCAGGTGCCCCCTGTTGTGCACTGTAATTTCTCCAGCTGGCAGCTATGTCACTAAGGGGCACAGGACCAAGAGAAACTGCAGCATATAGCAGGAGACCAGGCATATAAAACACCCATGAAGTATTGGATTCCAATGGTGGCTGTAGCTCTGTAAAAGAGCAAAGACTGACGTTTACTGGAAAGGTAAATATGAGTAATCTTCTTTTATAGAATGCTTCTGTTGAAGTTTGAATTTCCTAGTAAAATGCTCACTTTAAAGGTGATTTACATTTAGTTTGACTATGTTATTTGCACCTTTCACTTCATGTGTGAAATAAAGTTCTTACTATCATGAGGAAGTGTAGTTGCTTAGTTCTTGGTTATCTTATAAAACGAGCATAATACATTTCCTTTCACCTGTTCCTTTCTCTTAACTGTTCTCTATCACTGTTTTGTGACTTGCTTTCCCTCCTTTCACAAAATAAGACCCTAAAAAGTATTGCAAGAAGGTATTGTTTGCACCACTGAACTAATGTCAAAGGCCTCACTCTGCTTTTAAGAGAGTTATAAATGTAAGTAAGAGATATCAGCAAATTTGTTGATATACTGTAATACGTCTGTTTCCTTTGTTTGCTTTCCTGTTTTATAGTTACCATTAATGGAGTCAAACTGACAAACAATAGACCTTCATTGTCAAAGTATTTTAAGGGGAACACAAATAAAATGGAATGATGAACCAATAAAACCAAATTCCAGCCAAACGCTTTGCTTACATCTAGGAAGAGTAACGTCACAACTAACTGTTATAACTATTGTCAGCTAAGAGCTAGGCTTAGTGCATGCACACACTCTTCAAGGACTTTCTACTAATTCTTTTGTACCACTTATCTGCTTTCATCCAACAGGAGGACAGCTACTGAAAATCTAACAAAACTTCCATTTTTGTGTAAGGTATATCATTTTAAAAATCTAGAATTGTGTATTTACACATTATTGCTAACATAATTTTGAATAATTATAAATATATATTTTGATTTTTATTTCATTATTGTAGGTTGGTATTCTTTCGTACAGTTTTTCACTTTTGTTATAGTAGATGTTCTGCTGGTATGTGCAGTTTTTCAAAGTAGTAATGGAGTTGTTTAATAAATTCCTTCAGCTACTCAAAGTGTTACAAGTACTTTAAATGGACATTTAAGCAAATACCCAGTTAAAAACATATACACTATAAGGTCAAATGTTAGTGGAAACCTGACTATCACATCTATGTTACATTGTTGGACATCCCATTGCAAAACCATGAATGTTAATATGAAGTTGGCCCCCAAATTAAAGCTATGATGATAGCTTTCATATAGTTGCATCTGACTCTTGGCCATTTTATGGGCACTGTGTCTGATATGCTTGAAAGCCTTCTCCATAAAATTTTCTTGGCAAGTTTTTATGAGGTAGGTCTCCAGGTCCTCTCCTTAGCCACTTCCCATCTGGCCCATGTAGATAAACGGCCGAACAGGAGCACTGCCGAAGCAGGTTGACGTTTTTAACTGTTACCCGCGTTCACTGCCTGTGCGTGCTCCCTCCCCGATCGTTGTACGGGACCTCTGTGTGTGGTCCTGATGCATATGATCACTGATTGGCCAATCAGTGATCACATGAATAGTAGTAAACAAGATGTCACTTCCTGACATAACTGCTTACTACTTGTGAAATCTGTGAATGATCACAGAGGTCACGGTACAAGGCTATTCACAACAGCCTTGTACCATGTGACAAGCTGTGACCAATCACAGCTGTCACAGTATTTCTCAATAGCTGCAAGAATGCAGCCAGAGAGAAGGAGAAATGATTGCTTTTAAAGCCCTTATGGGTGTAAAAGCAATCAGTGTAAAAAAATAAAAAAATAAAAAATCTTCACCACCTCCCACAAGTAGTACAGTGTCACTATGGTGACATTGTACTGCTAGGGGGACGGTATGTTAAAAAAAAAACATAAATAATAATATTAAAAAAATGTAAAAATATTTTTTATTAAGTCTAATTTTCGGTAATAAACTAATTTGGGTTTCTTTTTTTTTTTACTAAAAAGATAGCTGAATAAATTTTGGCCAAGATTTATGAAAAAAGATTATTTATTTGCAAAATGTTATAAGAAAAACACTTTTTTTCAAAATTTTTAGACTTTTTCATTTATATAGCAAACAAATAAAAATCCCAGTGGTGAATAAATACCACCAAAATAAAGTTTTATCTGTCTCCAAAAAATGCTAAAAAATTCATATGGGTACAGTGTTGCATGACCGCACAATGGTCATTCAAAGTGTGATTGCACTGAAAGCTGAAAATTGGCCTGGACTGGATGGGGGTGAAAGTATTCAGACTTGAAGTGGTTAAACCTCTCCATTTGCACAGGATGGGACTGGCATGCAGAATTTGATAACACATGTGCATACTCAATCTGTGCACATATAGTAGTTCTATTACAAAGAGCAGTCAATATACCTGTCCTCAGAGTACCTGGAGGAAACCCACGCAAGCACAGGGAGAGCATGCAAATTTGAGGCTTGGGAAGAGTTTTTACAAGATGTTGTTGTATCTATGTGGGAATTTGTTTATACAGCCAAAAGAACATTTGTTAGGTCAGGTACTGATGCACAAAAATACAAAGTTTGCAATTGGCATTACAATTCATATGAAAGTAGCTCAGTAGGTTGAGGTCATCTCATTCACAATTAGTCAGCTCAAGACACTAAACTTTAGGCAATGCTTTTATTTTATTGCAGCCAGTACATTGTAACATAGGTGCATTGGAGTGTCATTCAAAATCAATGACACTGCAACACACCAACACATGCATACTTTGTTATCATGTATGTTTTATTCTGTTATTATTTTTATTGTGTAAACAGCCCTAACAATACCTTTCACTGAAAACCTCTGAACTCAATAATTTGTAGGGCTGTCCACATACTTTGGCTATATGAGGTAGGTGTGATGATTAAGCGCCCACAAACCTTTGGCCATATATGTTTAGAGTTTATCAACCAAAATAATTCTGTTTAAAAGACCACCAGGGTAGGCAACACACTTATTTATTAACTCAGCAGTGCCCCTTCCTGTAGCCCCTCTCATACTCCAGCCACCTTATTGGACAATCAGCATCATCTCTATCCAACATCTTGAGAGATGCCCCAGGAAGCAATAATGCTAAAGCAGGTGTAGCAGAATGATCTTCCTAACAGAGCTGTGCATTTAGGTGTTTACTTAGATTTTCACTTTTTATAGCCTCTGCTAAGCAACTCCAAATTATTCAGTGTTAATGTATAGAAATGATTTCCCTCGCATTACTAATTGATTTCATGAGCATTCAACACCTTTCATATTGCTAAACATGGAAGTTTCATGCAGTGAGCACCATACTGAGCCGAAAATGTGTTATTTTAAACCTGTCTTCAGCATTTAACATTTGGTATACTCAGGTTTGAGGTTGTCTCTGGAGAGCTGGATATTAGAGCAGACTTTATGTTCAGCGGCTGGATGAAATGACACAAAACGAACATAAAACCATGTTACTTCTGAGAAAACCTCAAACTCTGCAAAATGTTCCTTCATCCAAGTGTAATTTAAGAAGACAGACTGCAATATTCTGGTAATTGAGTTGTGCTTGCTAAATTTTCAGTGCACTAGAACCTGAGCCTGCAGAAAAAAAAAAATCTATGCACTAGAATTATTGAAATGAGAAGCAGAATTTACCTGTCAGGGAATGGATCTGAATGGGACATCTGCTGTGTCTAAAAGTAGCTTTTTGCTGAGCCATGTGAGATGCTTAACAACTTCCTTCTGATCCATTAGACAATGTTGCCTTGTACTTTGTTTTTCATTAACCTTGAACTCTGCTTCTCCCATGAACTTCCTAATTTAAGCCATGTCTCTGCACTTCTTGTTTGTCATATTATTGAGCTTTTTCCAGCCAATATCTTGCTCTTGTCACTACTGCTCTCATTCATATCTTCACTACCACACGTTAGCAACCTTTGGCTTGTTTACTGACTACATTTCTGTGTGATCCCTACCTGCTATATCTACTATTGGTCCCCGGCTTGCTCACCTACTGATGGGGTGATCCTGAGAACTGGTACTAACATGCAGCAAAACCCATCTCCACCATCTGGAGCTCTGGGGAATTCTGGTTAGTACTTAGACGCTTCACCTTGGG